TGTCACAGGGCGAATGAAAGTGATGCTGTGCTTTGAGGTCTTGGGCATTCGGAATCCAGCTGTGCCTCCTTCCTTAGCTGAGGAGGTGCTTGACGCTGACTCACACACCCCCATCAAGCAGTGCAGTGGAGCTGGAGGCTAAACCTACTGGGGAATGGGGTGAGGGAGAGTGGGCCCGGAGTTTTCTGGAGGGCTGTGTGTTTTCAGAGGAGCATGGATGGAGGGCGGATTGAGGATCAAAGTTGGAGTGAGGATCAGAGCTGGTCCAAGCTGCTGGACTGGGATGTGGGAGACCAGAGTTCTGTTCTATCTCTTCTGTTCTCTTGCTGTGTGGCTTTGGGAAGACCTTGACCCTCTCTGGGCTTTCCTCTCCTTGTCTGTGGATTAGAGCTCATTCCACAAGTCCTTACTGCTTTTCACTGCCGAGGGAATCCAGAAGCTCTAGCACCAAACCCTTCCTTAGCTGCAAGCAATAAGGCTGAGTCCCTTGCCGTGCTTGCTGGGGTTAGGTGAGGCTGGAAGGAAACGCTGGGCACCTGAGGGAAAGCCAGCCTCAGTGCTGGCCTGCTCCCCCGGAGCTCTGGGTGAGCCTTGAGGGGTCTGTTCTGCCCTGGCCCCGCCTTAGGTTTCACCTGTCACATGCTGGACCCTCCAGAGTCAGGGGCGGAGATGGGTGGGGGCGCGACTGCAGCAGGCCCCGGCGGGCAGGACACAGGCTCTGCCAGCCCCAGGGGTGAAGCAAAGGCCCCGTGTTCAAGCAGCAGCGCTGGATGCAGGAGGCCAGGCCCTCGCGCCCTGTTGCTCAGCCTTTTAGCGGTGCCGCCCCATGTCCCCATCCCCAAAGCGTGAGCAGGCCCGAAAGCAGAAGGGGCCCCTGCAGGAGGCTGCCAGCTTGCCGCACTCCCCCAGGAGCTGGGCAGCCGGCCCTCTCCTGGGCGGCTCTGAGCCCTGTCTGCTCACCGGGAAGAGGGGTGGGCCGGGGGCCAGGACCTTGGCTGCCCGCCCCACGGGCCCGGGAAAGGCCTGGTAGGAAGGGCTGGATCTGAGGGGACGGGGCGGAGCTCAGGTGTGTGTGTGCACGGAGGGTTGTGCAAGTGCTCAGTGCAGGTGCACATGGGTAGGTTGTGTGTGTGTGTGTGTGTAGCACGTGTGCAGTATGAGTGTGCTTGTCACGCACACGCGTGTGCATATGTACATTTGAGGGTGTGCGGGCCTGCGCATGCCCCTTGTGCCCTGGCACTCAGGTGGGGCCGCCAGCTCTGGGCGCCTCAGCCGAGGGAGGCAGGGAGCACAGCTAAAAGGAGGCCCCTGGGCAGGAGCGAGTGACCCCAGGTCACCGAGAACAGACTCCTGCAGCACAAGACTCCTGCAGTCCTGCCTCTGTGCCAGGCACGGGGCTCAGGGCTTCCCCGAGGGCCTGATGCTTAGCACGAGCCCTGGGGTAGGCAGTGCTGTTACTCCCGTTCACACCACCTGCTGTCGGGGCCTGGCCTGGGTGCCTTCCTCTTTCTCATGGAGCTGGATGTTGTGTGCCTTCAGAGTTACGCAGGGGACATGAGCTTATCCCACAGATGTCTAGTTGAGCACCTGTCCTGTGCTAGGCCCAGGGCAAGGTGAGTTAAAAAAAAAGACCTTTACCTCAGGGCCAGAACATTCTAGAATTCAAGGAGGGGTGAATGGTTGTTGGGCTGTGATACTGACTCGCTCCTCAGCCCGGCTGGGATTGGCCAAAGGAGTGCAGTGGAGGCCAGGCCTGGGGGTCCACAGGAGGAGGGGGTATCAGGTGGTCCCCAGCTGGATGTATGCAGCAGGGTGAGAGGGAGCGGCCGTCCCAGCCAGCACGTTAGTCCCTTTCCTTCAACACCTGGCCCGGCTAGGACGAGGGACCCAAGGCAGACTCTGAGGTGTTCAGCCTGGGGTGGGCAAATAAGTCCCTCAAACACACAGATGCCTGGTCCCACCCCAGGCCTGCCGGTTAGAACCGTGGGGTACACCAGGAATCTGCAGTGTCAGCAGCTGGACCCACCCTCTCTCTGACCCGACAGGAAGCTGTGCCGGGCACCTGGGGCGGAGCAGCTCAGGCCGCTGGTTTGACACCAAGTCCGTGCCCATGCCTGTCTGTGAAGAACTGCTAGGCAGAATTGCCGCTGAGCGTCCCAGGCAGGGAGGAGACAGGCCTTGCCTGCCTCCTGCATCCCCCTCCATATACTCCTTTTCCTGGGCAGAGGAGCTTAGGGGTACAGGGGAGCGTGCGAGAGGCCTAGACCATTTCCCCGCTCACACGCAAAAGGCCTGTGCTTGGTCTTAGCTTGGACACCCGGCAGGGAGGTTCAGAAGAGCTTTGGGCAGGAGGTGCAAGGTCCTGGTCTTGGGGAGACACCTTGTGGGGAGCGGGACCTGAGGTAGGAGGAAGGCCTGCTCCTAGTGTGGGTCCGCTGAGGCTCCGCGGAGTCCTAGGCCTCTCGGGCGCTGGACTGCTCCCACGGAGGTTTCTCCACGTTAGTCGGCCGGCTGCCCTCAGGAGCGGGCCAAGCCTCAGGCGGCCAGGACAATTACCCAGGAAGAGGTAGAGCTTGGGCCACCTGGGGACGGTCTGAGCCCCTGACACCCACCGCACGCTGGGCTATCATCCGCCCAAGGCCGGGATTAGGGACACGTGTAGGCGCTTCAGTCCCGTGGCCTGAGCACCGCATCCCAAGCGCTCCGGGAGGGGTCACTACAGAAGTCCAGGGCCCCCAGCGTCCACCTCCCCTGCGTGAAAAGGGAAGGGGCGACCTCCCTCACCAGGCCTCCGGAGACGCCTCTCCTTGGAGGCTGGCATTGGCCAGGGAGCCCTGGCTGGCTCCGAATGTCAGAGGCGGTTCGCCCAGGCTGCACACCCGTTCTCAGGCCTCCGGGGTAGGGGTCTGGGCTCTGTCCAGCGCTTCCCCTTGGGCCTGGCAGGGGTGCAGCCTGGCACAGGTCGGCTTTGACGCAGGTCAGCCATGGGGAGGCTGGCTGGGCTGGGGGTGACCAGATGGCCACTGGCTCCGGTGGGCGGGGCTGCCCTCACCTCCACTCAGTGTCCTGGCCTGAGTGCCTCACTCTTTCTGGGGGAGCTGGGCCTTTGGCTGCCGTGAGCTCAGGACTGCTCTTCTTCCCTGGAGTGGGGCTTCCAGGAGCCTGTTCCCTGCAGTCCTGCCCCGCCGTCCCCTCACCCTGCCTCTGGGCCTGGCCACACTCCCAGCGTTCACCTCCACTCCGACCTTAGTCCTTGCAGGACCCCAGTCAGACTGTCTGAACAGCAGAACTTCCCTCATGGTGTTCCCCTTTCCTCTACAATTCAGGGGGGTCGCCTCCCCGTTCATTCATCATTCATTCACTCACTCATTTGTTCATTTCTCCAACAAACATAAACCCCAGAGCCTGTGACACACCAGACCCCAGCATCCTCAGCCTTGAGACGGACAAGAGGGGTGAGGCCTCTGTCTCACGGAGCTGAATTCTCCTGGGATGGACAGGGACACCAGGAGGCAATTATACAGTGACATGACTGAGGCCAAGTACTTTAGGAAGGGTCCTGAGGAAGGGGCCGCTGCCTGGGGCTGGAGGGAAGGCGGGCCGGATTCTGGGGGCGCACCGCGGCGTGGTGGGGAGAAAGTTCCAAGCCGGGGACAGGCTTGAGGGGCCTCTGCGGTGGGAAAGTGGGTGAGGCGTGTTCCCACGAGCGCTCGGGCTGGGAGGGGGTGTACGGGGAGGGAGGAGAGGCCGGGTGGCACCCAAGACCTGGCAGAAGTTGAATTTGATTCTGCTAGGCCTGTGCTAAGGGGAGGAAAATAAACCTCGCTAACGTTTGCCTCAGAATTCCTACCCTCGGCACTGTGTCAAGCACTTGCTGTAGCCTCTTCATTCCGATCTACCCAAGCCCCACAGTGGGTCCTACAGAGCAGGAGACAAAGCCGCCAGTGGCTGAATCACTCGCTCAGTGACCGAGTCAGTGCTGGAGCTGGGGTTTCTGATGGGGAGCCCACTCCAGAGCCCTAACCAGGGGGACATTTCTCCTCTCGGGATACCATTCTCCCCGTCTCCAGCAGAGCCTCCTTCAGGAAGTCTCCCACCCTATGCTTGCTCTGATCAAGCCACTTCTAAACATAGCGCAGGACCTAAAAGCCTGTGGGGGCCTTAGGCGGTCATTTTTGCCTTGCGGTACTTTAAGTCTCCTTTTGCAGATGAACCCTGCAAAGAGGCTTCCGTTAGCCACAGCCAGGGAGCCGGGTGTGAGAACTACGCCTGCGGTCTCCTGTTCGCTCTCCCGCAGCCCCCAGCCCTCCAGTGCCCCCAGCCTCGCTTTAAGACAATTCTCAGTGATTTGTGTCTGTCCTCCACACCTGCCCTGCCTCCAGATAGACAGGGGCCTTCCCCGTGCCCATGACAAGGGGGCGACACAGCCGGGCCATAGTCAGTGTCCATGGCTACAGCGCAGTGGGTGGCGGAACGTGGGGATGTGCTAGGCGTGGTGTTTTCTGGGCCTTGAGCACAGAGGTTCAGCAGGGGGATGTGGCTGAGGCTTGAAGGATGCTTAGGGATTTTCTAGTGAGCCAGGAACCATGCTGGGGGTGGGGAGGGCCTCGTCGCAGCCAGAGAGAACAGCATGTGCAGAGAGAGGGAGGGAGCGAGGGTGGTGGGAATCGGAGGCAGCCGTGCTCCCGCTGGCATGCGTGGGAGGAGAGGACGGGCAGCAGGCCTGGGGTGGTGTCAGGGGTGAGTGAGGGGCTGCCTGCCAGACTAGGGAGCTGGGGCTGTGGCTTGAGGGGCTGGGCGAGTGGGGAGAGGGGCAGTAGCTGCCCGCTGAGCTCTGGGAGCGAGTCCCGACCTGGGCAAACTGGTGCAAGTCGTGTGTCTTCTCTGAGCCGGTTCCTCCTCTGCACAGTGGTGTGAATGTGGGGGGCCCGCCTAGCCTTGCACAGACTTCTCCCGGGGGTGCTGCCCTCCTACAACCCTAAGAAGCAAAGAGGCTCCTGGCTAGTTACGGAGTTTCTCCTTCATCCCAATCTTTCCCACCGCATGTGCTTTGCTCTGCGGTGCTGCGCCGGCCCTCTCGGAGGCACAGGTCCCCGGGGCTCTGGCTCACAGGAAAGCCTGCGCCGACACACTGTTCTTCACTTTCCAGCCCCTCCTCCTGTGGAGCCCTGTCCGGGGGAGGCTGGCCTCCTGGGCCTGGGCCTGAGTATGGATGTGGCCCAGCTCTGAGGGCGGAGGCATCAGCGGGACCCACAGGGCTGCTGGCATCAGTGGCTGCAGGTCCTCTGCAGCTGCGGAGGAGGCAGGGGGCAGGTCATCAGGATCCAGGTTGGCATCACTCCAGGCCTCAGAGTTCTCACTGTGGCCCCCCTGACTGGTGACTTCATCCTCGGATATGGTGACCATGTCACCCGTGTCCTCCCCAGAGTTGCTGTCCAAGTCCCCTGCCCCCTGGTCAGCGGCCCCCTCCAACTCACTGGCTGTGTGGCCCTCTGCCGTGCCCTCCTGTCTCTGCTCGGAGCAGTCCTCAGGGACAGCACAGAGCTCTGCCACGGGCTGAGCAGGTGTCTGAGCTCTGCTCCGGCCCGTCCAGAAGAGGGTGAGCTCTTGACGGTAGGCGGCCACGGCAAGGCTGGTGAGCAGGGTGCTGGACACTAAGTAGAGCAGGGCGGGCTGGCCCATCTCCATGAGAACCATGGCCAAGAAGGTGATCATCAGGCCCAGGGCGTAGGCCACGGTGCAGGCCACAAAGTAGACCGGATAAGAGTGGACGTGCACGTCAAAGCGGTGACAGTAGGCAACCAGGAAGCCAGGGACCACAATATCACCAAAGCCGAGGATGGAGAAGGGCTGGTCGCAGGGCGTCAAGGCCGAGGCACGTAGCCGGGGCACTTTGAGCACCATGGGCAGCTTCTCGTGGCTCGAGGAACCTGCTGGGCCAGAGGCGATCTCCAGCATGATACTGTCACCGGTCTTGGTGAAGAGGGGTGTGATGAAGACGAAAAAGACGTCAAAGGCCAGCAGGACCAGCAGGAAGCAGGTGCAGTTCTTGAGTGTGGGCAGCCGTACTCGCCGCAGGACGAAGAGGCAGTAAGCTATGCCCAGCATGTCCTGCAGAAGCCACGCCCAGCGGTCCTCATTGCGGCAGGTGACCCAGAGGAGGGTCACCAGGGTGCACAGGCCCGCCAGCAGCAGCTGGGGCAGCTGCAGGTGGGCCCGGTGGCCAGGGAGGGGCCACTGATAGCGCTGCAGCGGCAGGTGGTGCACCAGGGGCGCCAGGCAGCTGTAGAGGCCGGTGCCAGCACCCAGGCCAAAGATCCCAATCATGACATAGACAAAGTAGTCGTAGAAGAAGTAGAGCAAAACCACGATGGAGCAGGACATGGTGACCACGGCGCCTGCGACGGCCAGCGTGAAGTTCACTGCAGAGTCCTCGTCATTTGCATCCTCGTGGAGCCCTGCTGGCCCCTCCGCTGCCGCTGCCGGGTGGCCGTCAGGCCCCCCTCCTCCCCGGGCCCGGCGCCGCTGCAGCCAGGCGGCCTCCATCAGCCCGGCCCAGTACCCACCCACCGCCACGGTGCCCACGGCCAGGACAAAGATGACCACCAGGTTGTAGTCGATGATGGGCTCTGGGGGTGCGTACATGGCCACGCGGACGGTGGCGGCTCCGTGCGTGTGCCTGACGATGTCCAGCATGTCTGTGTAGCGAAGCACAGCCACAGGGATGGCGAGGTCGGGCAGGGGCCGGCGGGGGTCCTGGGACACCGAGCTGGTGTCTGAGCAGTGCTGCTCGCTGACCCTGCTCACGATGAGCAGCCCGTGGGCTCCTCGGCCCTGAGCCAGCCAGCCCTTGGCGTGGAAGCTGCAGTTGCCCCTCATGGCCATGGCGGTGGTGTGGCGAAGGGGCTGCGGTCTGGAGGAGCGGGGCCGGGCCTGTTGGAAGGAGTCCTCGCCTGGGCACCAGGATGCCTTGGTGCCGTCGTGCAGGGGCAGGAGTGGGGCGTGGCGCAGGTCCCGGGGCAGGGTGACATAGTCGGAGCTGAACAGGATGCAATAGTCTTTGCTCCAGGTATCCGACACCACGTGGACCACGCCGTGCTTCCCCTGGGCCACGGCGCTGACGAGGAGGAGCAGCAAGGCCACAGGGAGGAGGAAGCCCAGGCACGCCATCCCCCTCAGCCGCCTGCTGTATGACCCCAAGGGGCAGCGGCCCGCAGTGGGCTCTCCTCCCTGGGGTGGGTGTGGCCCTTTGTCACAGAGCAGCTTGCACACCAGTCCTGGAAACCAGGGCCACACCTACTCAGTCATAAAGCCAGGTTGTCCCCAGCCAAGGGCACTGCTGCGGGGCACAGGGCCCCTCTTGGGATCAAGTTCCTCAACCCTGGCCCAGGAGGAGAGGCGATCTGGGTCCTCTTCTGCCCAGGGCCCCGTGGGGACCAGACTGGGTGATTTGAAATGACAGCTGGGTGGATGGGGTTGAGGATGCCAGCTTGGATTCTGGATCAACTTTGTCCCTTACCCACCGGGTGACCCAAGAAGGTCACCTCTCCTCTCTGGGCTTCTTTCTTTAGCTGCAAAAGATGAGGACATTGGGATAGTGAATTTCCAGGCTCCTGGAAGTATGTACTCAATATGGAGCGCTTTTATCAAGACCTACTGAGCACCGAGTATTTTACCTATATTCGCTGGACTCCTGAAAGGAGGGATTGCTATCTTCACCTAGCAAGCTGTCCTTCAAAACTGGTTCCCCCTGTCTAACAGGAACACGGCCAGAGTTCATCTCCGGCCTCCTTTGGGTTAGGGAGGGCCGCAGGACCAAGCTCCTGCCTGTACACACTGAGCAGGAACGATGTGAGCCCTGTGGGGGCCTCAGCTGAAGAGTTACGGTGCTGCTTTCCACATGCCCTTTCCCTTTCTCACAAGTCCGCGCGGGGAGCGGCTGGCGCTGGAGACCGATCACACGTGCGGGGTGGAGCAAGGCCGGGTGACCAAGGCGAGCCACGTGGACACGAGCCACGTGAGCAAGCCCGTAGGTGGAGGGGTGTCACGTGACATCAGCCTGCTGAGTGTATCGATAAACGTGCTGCAGTCCTTGGGCAGTCCTTTCGCCCATCAGGAGAGGGCTCCACCTGACCTCAGCTTTCTGCATTCTGGGTCTTGTCTCCATTTATTCATCCTCCACGGTCCTTCCCCAGGGAACCTGAGAGCTACGCTGGATGGGGCAGGTGGGGACTTGGCCTTGACTATAAAGAGGAGGACAGTGTCCCCAGGAGTGGAGAGACCGTGAAGGGAGCTGGGTTCCTGAGTCTGCATGGGACGGGCACCTGGGCTGCTCATTGAAGCCAATACCAGAGAGAGACATGATCCTTTACAAGCCTTCAGCTTGCTGTGGCCTCTTTGTTATCACAGCTTACTCTCTCCTTAATGTACCCATGTCCTAGATGAGTAAAACTGAGGCTGCGAGAAGCACAAACTGACCCAGCTGAGAAGGGCCCCAGAACAAAAGGGGAGAATTAGAAGATGGAGCAAACCCTCTGGTCCCAAAGCTCCCACGCCCTCCCTGGCACGCACTGGCTGGCGATCAGCTCTCTTGCCTTTGATGCTGTGACGCTCCCCTCCCCGACTGGAGGTGAGCTCCAGCCACACATCACGCCCTAACACCCTCAGCTTTCCACAGTGCTCGGGGGCTCTGCTTCTGAGGGGGGCTGTTCCCCCTGGGGCCCTGGCCCAGGGCTCATGGTAGTGATGTGGCCACAGGGAACCCCAGAACCGGTTCCTGCCTTCATCCGCAGAACCCCGCCCTTGCCCTCAGCATAGTATGCAGCCCCCGCGGAGGCCTCTAGCCCAGATGCTCTTGTCCTGCCCCAACGTCTGCTGATGGGGTGGCCTGTGCCTTGTCATTCAGGCCTTGCTGCAAGGTCATCTCCATGCTACTTCAGAAAAGCCTAGCCTCCTCCTCACGTCACTACTGTAGCTTGGCTTTTCTTTTTTCTTTTCATACTGGGGATGAACCAGGGCCTTCACACTGAGCTATATCCCCAGCCCTTCCATATTTTTATTTTTGAGACAAAGTCTTGCTAAATTGCTATGTTGCCCAGGCTGGGTTCAAACTTTTGATCCTCCTGCCTCAGCCTCTCAGAGTGCTGGGATTATAGGTGGGCAACACCGGGTCTGGCCGGATTTTACTTTCTTTATAGCGCTTGTTCCAGTCTTAGGTTTTTGGTTACTTATGTGTTTGCCTCTTGGTTTTCTGGCTTACGCTGGTTGGGCATAAGCCCTGTAAGGATAGGGACCTCGTCTGTCCTACTTGCTTGTCGTGGCTGGTGAATAGAAAGCGGTGCTCATAAAGTACACATGGGATTTGTGAGCGAGAGACCCAATTTATATTTGGAAGGACAAGGCTGCAAGAGCTGTCTCAGGCACTCTGTCATCACTGGACACAACAATTCTCAGCACCGCAGCTTAAAGGAGGAGGGATTTGTCTCGTCCCACATCAGCCAGGGTCGCTGGCTCTTAGGTGGGGCGAGGGCAGAGGGACATAGTGCATCTTGGTGGGGGTGAAACATCGGAAAGGGTGGCATCAGGGAGGGAGACAGATCCTTTCAAGTCACACCCCAGCAACCTGCCCACCTGCTAACACTAGGCCAGCCAAAGCACTCCGGTAATACAGTCACATTTCAGAAGCCCCCGCCTCCTGTCTCAGGAGATTCGGGGAGACATCTAGATATAAACCACCACGGCAGCTAAAGGACTTTTCCAGGGTGGCATTGCAGTGGTGGAAGCCAGTTTCAAAGCCAGGCTGTTGGGTGGTGGAGCTTCGGGTAACAGCTTTATCACTCTGCCAGAACCCCCCCCCCCGGGCTGGTGTGCGTGTGGTGAGCTGCGCTGGGTGGGAGATGCATCCATTGAAAAAGTCCATTAAAGAAGGCAGTCAGTGTTGGGCGCGGTGGTGCATGCTTATAATTGCAGCTATTTGGTGGGGTTGACGCTTGAAGCTGGCGAATCTGAGACCGGCCCGGTAATTTAGGGAGACCCTGTCTCAAAATAAAAAATGAAAAAGAGTTGAGGGTGTAGCTTAGTGGTGGAGCACCCCTGGGGGCTCTTATCGGAAAAGCAGAAAAGATACAAAGACACACAGGAAGAGAAGGGCAGGGGCTGGAAATCATGGAAGTCTCCTACGTATTTTACACCCTGCATTGGGTCCTTGGACTGCCTTAAATTATTACAACCAGGTGGTTTTAAACAACAGAATGTTGGTGTCCCCCTCAAAACGTGTGTGTGGAACCTAGGAAAACAATTAAGTCGGGAGGGTGGAGCCCTCCTGATGGGATCAGCAACTTCCTAGAAGAGACAAGAGAGGTGAACCCTCAGTCTTGGGAGGCAACATTCAGAGTAGTGAACTGAATTTTTTTTTGTACCAGGAATCGAACTCAGGACCTTGTGCTTGCCAGGCAGGCACTTGTGCCACTGAGCTACATCCCTGACCCATCAACTGAATTTTTTTAAAGAAAGATGTCACCTTGTTGGTTCCCCCTTGCAAGCCAGGAATCAAGCCCTCTCCAGGAACTGAACCCACCAGCACCTTGATCTTGGTCTTTCCAGCCTCCCCTGAGAATTGAATGTCTGTTCAAGTCACCCAGTCTATGCATTTATCCAAAACAAAGTCCAAAATCAAGGTGTCAGCAGGGCCATGTGCCCTTTGAGAGACTGGGTAGAATCCTTTCTTATTCCTTTCCTGGTGGTGGCTGAAAACCTTGCTGCCTCCCTGGCTTGCAGCTGTGTCACCCCAACCTCAGCCTGTGCCACGTGGCACTCTCCCTGTTTTTATATCTCTTTTTCTGATAAGGGCACCAGTCAGGATAGCTTAGGATTCACCCTGATGACCTCATCTGAACTTGATTCCACCTGCAAAGACCCTATTTCCAAATAAGGGTACATTCATAGGTAGTGGGGTGAGGACTACATATCTTCTGGGGGATACGATTCAACCCATCACACTTGCTATTTTAATCCTCAAAGAGTTTTCCTTTTTTCTTATTTTGCTGTGCTGGGGATTGGACCCAGAACCTCTTCTGTGCTAGGCAAATGTTCTACTCCTGAGCCACACCCCTACTTTTCAATTTTGAGTCACTCTCCTTGGGACCTACACTAATAAACTCCACACTGTAACACGCAGCTCTAGACCCTTTGAACAGAGGGTGTGAGAGTACAGGAACCTGCTAGGTGGTTAGCAAGCAGACCCCACTGGATTTGGGTAATGCCCTCCCCCAATTATATTTGCCTGGCCAACACCTAATTTGATAACTATCTTTTTTGAGATTCATTTATGTTGTATTTCTCAAAGTAGTCATCCAAATTTTGTAAGGAACATTTCTCATTGTTGGTGTCCTTTGGCTTTATCTACTAATATAACATTTGATTAGATTACAAACAGTAATTACAGTGAGGTGTGAACTGTCGGAAACACGTTAGGAAACCAGTACAACTGCCTGGTGACAGGCTAGTGGAGGAAGGGGTGGGCAGGGAGCACCCTGACTGGAGAGGGGACATAGCGTATCTGGTGGCCAGCGGGTGGCTGGGGCTGGGGAGGCGCCGTTTGTGCAGTTCTTATCACAGCCTGTGGTCACCGGGTCCACTTGTCTGAGTTCCAGCGTCTAGATGCCAGCCAGGTGGGCAGCTCCTTGCTGCGGGATGTGAAAATGAAACTCGCTCTGGCCCGCATCTAGGAAGAGCGACCCGGACGCTCACTCAAGGGGTCCCAGACGCTCAGGGACCAAGAAGCGGGCAGTGACTGCTTGATGGGCGTGGGGTTTCCAAATGGGGTGATGAAAACATTCTGGAACCAGACAGTGGTGACAGTTCCAACAAGGGAGCCCAGGGTCTCTTACAAGGAGCAGCACACCCACAAATAGGAGCAAGTAGGGATGCAGAAAACTAGAATCCTCAAACCCAGCTGTGGGGTGTAAATAGCACAGCCGCCAGGCGCACACAGAGTTAACATAGGAGCCAGCAATCCCGCTCCTAGGTATTCACCCATAAGAACTTTTTTTTGGTACTGAGAATCGAACTCAGGACCTCGCGCTTGCCAGGCAGGCACCTTGCCACCGCGCTAAACCCCCAGCCCCAACAGCCCTAAGAACTGAAACCAGGTGTTCCGATGAAATTATGTACATCCTTAGAGCAGAACTGTCTGTGATGACTTGCAGTAGGTGGACAGAACCCAAGCGTCAGTTGATTGATGGATAGGATGTGGTCCATCCGTACAACGTAAAATCAGCCAGGCACAAGCAGTGATGTTCTGACACATTTTACCGTGTGGATGGATCTGGAAAATTCCATGGTAAGCGAAAGAAGCCGGACAAAAGAACAAATACTGTATCGCTGATTCCACTTATTTGAAATATCCAGAAAAGGCAAATCTCTAGAATGCAGACTCATGACAGGCAGGGGTTAGGGGACCAAGAAGTGGGAAGTGACTGCTTGATGGGTGTGGGCTTTCCATACGGGGTGACAAAAACATTCTGGAACCAGACAGTGGTGACAGCTGCACATATTTATATATAATAATTCTATATATATTTATGGGCTATTAATGCATTGAATGCTGTTAAATTATACATTTTAACATGAATGAAATGGTAAGTTTTAAATTATGTGTATTTTAGCCTAACACAAAAATAAGGACCAACTCCAGCCTCCAACAACACTGTCCTTGGGACAGGTCTCATTTTGATTCCTGGGGGCCCCGTCAGTCCAGGGTGCGCCCCAGTTAGGAGACACCGCTCCCTTCCACCCACTTGCTCCTGTCCTTCCCCCCTGATCCACCTTGGGCTTGAAGAATTCCCCTAAGACTCCTTCCCTCCGCATGGCTGTTCCTGGGCCCAGCTTGCTGAAGGCTTTCAGGGACCAGTTCCGGCACCGTTCCCCAGAACTGCAGCCCTCCCGCCCCTCCCGCCAGCCAGCGCATCCGCCATGGAACTGCCCTTCTGCATGGCCGCTCGGTGCCCTGGTTGATGCCTTCACACGAGGGGCTGCTGCCTTCTGTGTAGTCAGTTTCTGGACTCCGCAGATGCCACCACCTGTAGCTCCAGATGGGCCCCTTTGCTTAGTGTCCTACCCTCCATGGACAGCTTTGCTCCATACTCGCGGCTGCCCTCAGTTAGGACCTGGGCTCTTGGGCTGAAGTCTCTGCTCTCCCTTTGGGCTAGGTGCCACCTGGAGCATTTATCTGCACCCACTCAGGACAGTGAGGGCAACAGACCCCAGGTGGTGGGTCTCAGCTCAGGGCTGTCACTCAGGAAGGCAAGCAGGGTGCCCAGCTTCCCGGCCTCCTCTCCTGCCCTGGCTTGTTGGCCCAGCACCTACCCAGCTGTATGATCTGGAGAAGTGCAGGCCTGGAGAGGGACTGGGTTCCTGTCTGTTCTCTCCTCCCATCTGCTTCCTGTGTCCCCGAACCTGGGAATGAACACAGAGGGGCAGCAGCACATGGTCGCCTATACCATGCCATGGCAAGTGCCTGCAACGTTCCCCAGCCCCATAGGGCCCTCAGAGGCCCCCTGCTCCTCCCCCTCTGCCTTGGCCCAATGAGCAAGGAGACTGGGCAGCAGGGGTCTGTCCAGGACCCCTTGGAGGGACAGATGGGGGTTATCACTTTGGTGTTCCCAACACACTGACCGCCTTGGAAAAGAACGGCCCAGGCCTCTTTGGACCCTGAGCTGTCAGCAGAAGCTGCAGGGGTTGGTGAGCTGGGGCCGGTTGGCAGGCAATGCTGTGGGGTAGAGGAGGGATGGCTGGGGACACAGGAGGTGGACAGCCTGAGGCTGGTGCTCTGCAGGCTCCAACTCATACAGCTAGATCGAGTGCTTGTCTGAATGCTGCTTGTTCAGACTGACAACCTGGAGAACCTCCTTGGACAGGCGCTCAGGAGGGTAGAGGGGCGGGGAAGGCAAACACGCAGAGTCCCTGCGGCACAGGGGCTTTGTGGGGGCCACTGTGGGGTCTCATCTCGCCATGCTGGGTGCCCTGAGACAGTCTCTTCACCTCTCTGAGCTTCACTTTTCCCGTAATAGCACCTGCTTCCCTGGGCACAGTGAAGATGAGGCTCACACCTGGGGCCTGGCTCCCAGTGAACACCGGGGAACGATCAGAATGCTGCTCGCGAGCTGCAGAAAGCATCCAGTCCGTCTAGATTCTGTGCCCAGGTGAGTTTGAAGTCGGGGTGCCCGGACGCGATGACCCTGAGACACTCAGGCTGGAGGCCAGGGCACCCTCGCAGGGGCCAGACGGAGCCTGGGCGGGGTGCAGGGGAGCCCAGTGTGGCACCAGGATGCCCGGGCTGCATGGTTTGTAGCTCAGCTTCATCTTCGTAAGTGCAGGCGTGGAGGGTGCGGGGAGGAGGTGCTGGGTACACAGAGCCCTCGCCGCTCCCACCTCACTGGGCCCGCCAGCCGGGTACCTGCCCGGCTATCTTTGTGGGTCCCTCTTCAACTGGGCCAGGTTCCAGGTCAATCTGCAACCCAAAGGCCTCTGTACCGTCCCTTTGCCCCAGAGATGGTTTGTCAGCCCGGCCTCCCACCCCAAGTTCAGGACTCTGGCCCTCGGAGCCCAAAGGCCCTCTACCCTAAGGAGTTGCTAAGCCTGTTTCCTTGGCTCCAAAATGCTCTGGGTCCCACCTCCCTGGGCCGGTTGATTAGCTAGTACACTTATAAAGGATTTCATGGACTGCCAAGCAATCTTCAGATGGCTCCCATGAAGGCATTATAATCTGGATTTCAGAGCCTCCTTCCTTCCCTAACACACGGCTCCCTGAGATCGGGCTGTGTCTGAGTCCTGGGCCCGGGGTGGCTGACCTGTCCACACAGCGGGCTGGAAAGGTAGCTGAGGACCTCGGGCAGGGGCTGCGCCGCACCTCAGGGACAGGAGCCTAACTGGAGAGCAGGCGACTTCCTTCCACCACTGTTCTGTGCCCGTAGGGAGGGTCTCCAGGAGAAAGGGATCAGGGGCGGGCATCTTTATGGAACTGTGGCTTCTGGGTGTGGCATGGACAGAACCCTTCTGGGCCCGTAGGACAGGCCTGACAGGCTCTTGGAGGACGTCAGTGACCCCCACCCTACAGCGGAACCGCCTGGCCCCTCCCCACAGGGCAGTGACATACCCACAGCCCCTCTGGCTCATAGAGGGACCTTCCCCACCCCAAGGCCCAACCCCAAAGGAGACTGGCTTAGGTGCCTTGGCCTGGACTACCTGGACCCTGTCGCTGAAGCCCAGAGCCCCACCATGGGCTACAGAGGTTTGGGGCAGTACCCCAAGCCGCCCATCCCCCTTTGTCTCTTCGAGGTGGTGGCTGTCCAGAGTCTCTCTCCAGCTTCTCTGAGGACGGCCACCCCCGCCCTTCCTGACTCGGCTCTGACCAGGTCCCTGGTGTCTGTCCTGGGCAGTCTTCGCCTCTCCCCTCCCACGGCCCAGCACTGCGCTGTGAGCACAGTAGGCCCCTGGAGGGTGCCCAGCAGCTGCCCCAAGCAGGAGGCACAACAGGAAGGGGGCATGCCCAGGCTCAGAGCCCTCCCAGCCCCTCTGAGGCCCCGCCTTCCTGTCGTTCCACGTAGTCCAGGGGTACCTCACCTCTCCCTCATCCTGCCGTGTGTGACACACAGACTGGAGAATTAGCTCAGCTGCGGCTACTTGACACTCACCAGTCACTGTGGTCCCTCTTGTCTGCTGGGAGGGCTATTCCCTACCTCTTACCCCCGCCCCCCAGCCCATCCCTGTCCTGGCATTCCCTGGCTCCCCCTCATCTCTCTACTTAAAGGCACAGAGCTTGGAAACTGGCAGGGCAGGGCACCCCAAAAGGCCCTCAAGGACACCCTCATCTCCTCCAGATGCTGGGCCACTGTGGAGTTCGTGACAGTCACCTTGGTCTATCCGTGTCCTGATGTGTCACACCCTTGAATGCAATCCTGTGTGTGTGTGCATACACGTGTGCACACGCGAGCATGCACACACATGTACATGCACTCATGCTCATACACATCTGTACAACCCTCCTCCCTGGTCAGTGGTCCTAATGACCCTGGGGCCCTTGAGAGCGTCTGGTGTCTCACTCACACTCCACAGCCTTAGAATGCACCTCACACTGGCCTCTCCTGACTACAGGGCCGGCCTGAGGGCTCCGGGACGCTCTCTGTGGCCCACGTGGATGCAGAACCCGTGCCTCTGGTGCGGAGGGGCAGGGTCCGCTCTGCTCCCAGCTTCCCCAGTTACCTGAAACCATGCTGCCAGCCACCCACCCGCCTTCCCCGCTGCCCGCCTTGCCTGGCCGCACTGGCCTCTCCTCTCCGTTCTCCTTTCCCTGGAGTTTGTAATAGAGACCTGGCCTCAAGGTCAGCTTTGGGGCATCCTAGACTAGGACAGCCGCTCTGTCTGCACAGCCTCCTCAGCTTCCTAACGACTCTGCCTGCTTCTCAGCGCGCGGCCTCCCCAGGGCAGGGCCCCACTCCCGCTTTGTCCCATTGCTGTGTGCTTGTTCTAGCCTTCCCCGGCCCCCGCGGTCCTCCCCTGCATCATTAACCCACCTGTCCTGACTCGCCTCAGTACCAAGAGCTGTCCTTTACTAACCAGCCTGGCCAGACCCCTCTCCTTCCAAGTCCTCCTACTCCCCCCGCCAGCCCCTGTGGGCTCATCCAAGATGGCGCGTGAGGAGTGTCGGGTTCTCAGCGACACGGTGGCTCCTGCAGGCTGAAAAAGGTGCCCGCTTCTCTAAGGCACCCTCTCCCGCTCCCCCGGTGGAGTACAGGCCTGCACAAATGCTGGTTGAAAAGATAAATATTATTATTTACATCATCTTCCCCTTTACAGCTGACACGCCCACCTCCTAGTGCCCACCCCGAAGCACACTCTGTCAGCCCAACCCCCTGCACATGGCAGGCCCGGCGGGGACTGACAGTCGACCCCTGTCCAGGGCACCGGGGCAGAGAGGGGTCCTTTCCCTTTGCTCAGCTTGAGAGCCTGCCCAGAGGCTGCAGGCCCCAGGGGTTCTTTGTCCTCCTCCAGGGAGGCTGGCCTGGTGGGGGCACATTCTTGTACCCCTGCCGTGCCCAAGTGGGGAGACACCCAGAGGCAGAAGGTGGTGGGACTTAGGTTGGTGGGTACGTGGGGGGGAAGCTGGGGTGACCTACAGGGTAGTAAACATCCATGGGTGCAAGGCAGCAAGGCAGGGCATTTGTGGTGGCAGTGCCACGGTGCCAATGAGCTCTGGTGACTTGGGAGTGGTCAGATATCTGACGACGTCACCTGCTATCTCCAGGGCCCCTCCTGGACTCTGTGGCCTTGCTTCCCAGTGGTGTACACAGGCATCGCTAAGGCCGGGGGCATCATGGTGGATGGATGCCGTCACAAGTTTCCCATGATGCCCTGGGGCAGTGAGTCACCTCCCTACAGCTGCACGGGCCCCCAGGCCTCCGTGCTCTTTGAGAAAACAGCACTAAGGGGGCCGGGGTGCTGCTGTGGGTAGTCCAGCTGTCCACGTCCATCCCATACCCATTCCCATCTCCATTCTCCAGGGAGGACCAGCCCAGCCCTGTGGGCTACTGAGCAATCCTGAGCATAGCAGTCCTGCTGGCCTGGGAGCGGGGCCTCCTAGACCTTCAGGGCTGCTGCTCCTGGGGAAAAGGCGCTGGCTGCCTCCACACACGAGGTGGCTGGTGAGCCTGGCCGTCGTCTGCACGGCCACAGAACTCGGGGGCTGCTTTTCAAGGCCGGTAGCTCAGACACCTGTAGACTGCTTGATGCTGTGCAAGCTGACCCGGGTCGGGGAGGTGGGGATGGACATGGCACGGGCCACCCGGGCACGGATGGAGTGGTTGTCTTGCCATCGGTGCCATCTCTTCCGGATAGCAGAGCGGACCTGTGGGCACAGGGCAGAGGCTGAGACCTCGCTCCCTCCGCTGGGCTGCCACAGGCAGAGGAGCCCGCAATAGATGGCCACATTTTACATGGCCGACATCGTTGGTTTGTATCGGTGACGGGTTTGGGGCACGCAGATTCCCCACCCTCAGCCCCCGGGAAGCACTGCCCAGGGCGCGGCCTTCCCAGTTTTCAGATGGCTTTGCAAGACCAAAGCGCAGGCTTCCAGCCACCCGTGCCCACTGCCTGGGGCAAAGGAAAGGGCTGCCATCCCAGAAGCAGAGTGGGAGGGCCGGGCACTTCTCAGCAGCATCCCACACAAACCTAGGAACAGGGAGCAGAGCCTGCCCTCGGTACAGGAGGGGGACAGTCCCGTGGCCTCCAAACCCCAAGCCCAGCCCCCACCAGGGTCCTCACCTCGCTGTTGAGGAAACAGTAGAACACAGAAACGAAGAAACCCTGGAGGACAGAGGGACAGTCAGAGGCCTGTGTAAGCGGGTCCCCCGACCCTGGGCTGCCCCCAGCTTCCCTGGCCTCTAGGTCTCTGCTGAGAGAGCCCCCACCCAAGCAGGTGCACACCTGGCCCTACAGAGCTAGGGCAGCCGGGTCCAGCCAAGGCAGGGAGGGAGGCCATACCTGGAAGGATTCTAGGAAGGAATTGAAGTAGATGAAGACCACCCGGGAGACCTCGTCCTCCCCCGGGTTGACGAAGAACAGCATGTAGGTGATGCCCAGGAGAGGCAGCAGCACCAGAGTGGCCTTCACAGCCTTCCTGGGGGTGGGGAGGAGAGGCGTTGGGCCTCTGCCTGGTGCCAAGGACTGGGCCTGGGGGAGGGGCAGGTCTCGGGCATGTCTGAGGCGGGGGAGCTATGGATTCCGGGGGCACTGCCAGGCCTGGAGGAAAGCCTGGCTCGGAGGCTGGGACTCGGAAGCCCCCATGGGTGAGCGAGGTGGGAGCCAGGTACCTGTACTGAATGGTCTCAGATGTGGTGGATGCCCGGAGTTTGGTCATGAGAATACGGACGATGTTGAAAAGGAAGATAAAGTTGATCTGCAATTTGAGCACACCAGTGGGGAGTTGGGGGTGTGGACGTGCACAGCGTGTGGGGTGGGGAACAGGACGAGCCCCTGGCTTCTCAGTCCTGCTTTGAGGCACCCCGCTACTCTCCCTCCACCTCGTTAACACTTCCACGCTCCTGGCCTGGGCCTCCTCTCTGCGTGGTCCCCACCTCTAGGCAAAGGGTCCTCTCTGTCCACCCTGGGTACTGGTGGAAACACCGAGGTTCTTACCAGCAGGACCAAGATCATGGGGCCCTGGTAGATGTAGTCGGTATACACTCCAGGCCTTTTGCCAAACCAGCACCTAGAAGGCCAGAGCAAGGGGAGAGGGGGTCACGCAGGTCCTCCGAGGCGTGGGGAGGGGCAGTGCGCGGTCAGGGCAGGACTGGGGCTGACAGCTACAATGTGGGTGCCCCAGCTCCAATCCTGGCAGAAGTTCAAGTCAGCTGGTCCCACTGCAGGGCCTCAGCTACCCCACCTGCAACACAGCAGCACCCTCACTGTGAGCCAAGGGGCTGGGAGCAAGCTGCGGCAGGCAGAGGGGCTGTGAAAGGGACCGCTGACTGCCCGGGACCCGACTGAGGCCCGGCACAGTGCTGACTGCTCCGTTCCCGCTTGTGGCCCCGGCTGGCTGTGGCGGAGCCCGCTGGGGTGCTCCTGGCGCGGGCCCCTCACGGGGGGCATCCTCTGAATCCACGCCAGCGCAGCCTAAACGACCTGAAGGCACGGACGTTCACAGGCACCGCCGACTGCAAGAGGCAGAGCTGCTTTCCACAGTCCTGAATCGCCCTCCCGCGCCTTCCAGGAGAAGGTGGGGACAGGGCAAGCAGAAATCGCACATCCTGGCATAGCTGGATCTCACCTGTTTCTCTAAACCAGAAAGCGAAATCTCTGGATTTTTAAAATACTGGCTACAGGATCGAGTTTTCGAAAAATACCAAGCAGGCCAAACATAACTGTCTTCGGGCCAGATTCGGTCCTCTACCCTCTGGTCTGCACGGTGCTAATTTCTCACATCCCTTTCCTTTTGGATGCAGTGTCTGCATTGTACCACCAGGTGGGGCTTCAGAGCCGCACAGGCCCACTTTCTGCTCCAGGCCACGACTTTTCTCTCTCTCTCACACACACACACACACACACACTCTCTCACTCGCTCTCTCTCTCTGTCTCTCTCTCTCTGTCTCTCTCTCTCTCTCTCTCTCTCTCTCTCTCTCTCTCTCTCTCTCTCTCTCTCTCTCTCTCTCTCTCTCTCTCTCTCACACACACACACACACACACACACACACGTGCAGGCACCCATCCAGGGGTTCCACTGTAGCTCTAGTACCCAGGCCCCACTCCACAGCTATGCAACCAGCCAGGAGGTGTAACCTTTGAAGACATGGAAGGGAATTTTCCAGGGTCCCGTGGAGCCCACAGGACCAGCCCAGGAGGCTGTGGGGTCCCCTCTGTGGAGGGGAGGAGCTGCAGTGATGGTGGAGGCGCCTGGCCCCCCGGTCAGCTGGTCCCAGAGCACTTCTCTGGCAAAGATCTCAGCTTCTCCTCTGGCTGGCTGTGTTGGCCTTTCCCCTGGCTCTCTGAGGTTCTCAACCTTGGCTGCACACTAGGTAGCTTAAGAAAATTCCTGGTGCCCAGGCCACCACCCAGATGGCATCCAGCTATTTGGGGTGAAGCCTGGGCATCAGCCCTGTCTAGAGCTTCCTAGGTGAGTCTTGTAGGGCATGGCTGAGAAATCCTACAGCAGAAGTCTTTCTCAGGGGTGACTGGGAGCATACGTCTCCTTTACAGGGAGCCCCAGGCTTCAGGCTTCTGGGACTGTGTGCGCCAGGTCCTACTGGAGGAAGGCTTTTGTTGAAACTATCTTAATGTCAAAGAAAACACTTATGTAGCCTTCTCCATACACCAGATACTATTGTGCTTAACATGTATTAAGGCGTGCCATCCCCACCGCCACCCTCTGAGGTAGGGGCTATCAGGACATCCATTTTGCAGATGAGGAAACCGAGGCAAGCTGCAGTAACGAGCCCAGGGTCGTGGAGCCATTTAATAGCAGAGCCGCCCTGAGCAGACTATCTGGAGCAGGCCGACCCCAAAGTCTCCTCTCCTTGAAGCTCAAGGGAGATAATGGGGCTTGGGCCCTGACTGCTGCTCCTTCAGCAGAGAACTGGCTGGGGCTCTCCGAACTGAGCGCAGCCCCAACCCTGCCTTTGCACACACTGACGCCCAGGTCCTGACAGACAAGCGGAGGGGCCCAAGGCTCTCGGGGAGCACAGGCGGAGCGGGGCTGGGGTCCGGGCCGCGGGGCTCCGGAAGGGGAAGGAGGCAACTTACTTCTCGTTGTCGTAGTACATCTTCCCGATGGCCCAGGCTACAATGATGGGGAAAGGCACACCTGGGAGAGAGACGGGCTGTGTCACAGCCCAGGCCTCCCCGGGGGGGCTGCTAGGGGCTGAGGTCAAGCTCAAGCTCACGCATCTTCAGGATCCTCCTGCCGCGTTCCCCGGGAAGGCGCACACTCCGCCACCCCAGGGGGCCCTGGTCTCCCGTGCCCCGCCGGCTGGCCCGTCCCGGGTGGGAGGGCGGGCAGGAAGGCGGCCCGCCGGCTCACCCCAGCCGATGCAGATGAACATCCACTTGCGCAGCCGGTCGGTGGAGTAGGTGAGCACGATGGCCGTGTGCAGGTAGCAGCCCTCCCCGAACATCCAGAAGAAGTTGGTCACGTGGAAGTAGTTATAGGCGGCTGTCACCAGTCTGCACCAGCCCTGCCCCCACCCCAAGAGATGATGCTGCGCAGGGTGTGGGGGGCAGGGCAGCCCCCCACCCCGGCCTGGGACCTCTCTGGGAGCCTGTGCCCGTGCTCCCTCCTCGTCCCCCTGGCAGAACGCACCACATTGCTCTGGTGGACCGCGGGGCTCATGGTGCGCTGGACCACGAACCACGTGGCATTGCGCAGGATGAAGGCCGAGATGAGGTTCCAGTGGATGACGTTTCTCAGGCACCGGATGCTCCTGGGGAAGGGGGGCCGGCACACGGCCAGAGCAACAAGCAGAGAAAGAGGGAGACGGTCAGGCTGCGGGCACCACACCCGCCCACGCGTATGTGGGGACCTGAGGTTCTGAGCACGTGAGGCGGACAGGGTAGGCCACACAGGTGGCAGCAAGGCCCTCCTGATGGCTCACGGGGCCCTTCTAGCCAGACATAAGCTCCAGGGGCAGAGGCTGGCATGGTCCCTGGGCCAGTCTGCTTGGTTACCAGGGATGATGCTTTGCCCCTCACCCCCAGCTGTGCCAGGATGGAGGGAGGAGGGAGGGCAAACCTAAGAGGCCGCCCACGGGAAGCCTCACGCTCTGCTCCCGCTTCCACCCGCCCCCACTGCTTGGCCCTTGCACACTCAAGCCTGAGGCGCGGTGCCACGCCACGCCACCTGCCAAGCGAATACAGACCAGCCCGGGCGCAGATGACCCAAACGGGTTCAGACCGGTCTACGGGTAGATGATGCGGGTGAGCCAGGGGCAGAAGTGGCTCTGCCAGAGGTTCCAAAAGAACCTAGATTCACCTGTGCCGCCCTCCTGCTGAGGCGAGGGCAGGACGCCCCGTCCCAGAGACATCCCTGGGTCTCGCTTCCCCACCCGGATGGAGGGTAAGGGGCAGCAGGCGGCCCCTCCTCACCTGAGCCGCAGAAAGAGGACGAAGGCCACCAGGAGGGCCACCAGGGAGATGCAGTGGCCCAAGTAGTTGATGATGACGGCGATCTGGTAGTGCACTTTGCTCTTTTTCTGAGAGAGGAGAGAGGGGCAGAGGTGAGGCGCCCGCGGGACACGCACAGGTAGAGGGCGCCCAGGCAGCAGGGCCGCTGGCAGTAAGGACGGGGTGTCTGCCCTCCACCTCCCTGCATCTTGCGGCAGCACGGTCCACCCCAGACTGTTCACTGCTGCATGTTGTTGGGCAGATAGGGGGTGCACGCCACCTACCGCATCCCGCAGGCGCCCCACCCACCGCATCCCGCAGGCGCCCCGCCCCCCGCATCCCGCAGGCGCCCCGCCCCCCGCATCCCGCAGGCGCCCCGCCCACCGCATCCCGCAGGCGCCCCGCCCACCGCATCCCGCGCACAGGGCGCCCTCGCCATGTGCCCCAGTGTGTGCGCCAGCCCACAGCCGGGCTCACATCTCACACTGGCCCAACGCGGTGGTCTCAGTGAGACCCCAACCCTCAAGGCCCTCTTTCCTCCACCCACTCTGAACTGAGTCCCCTCCCTTGGTTACCCCTCCCCGCCTCGCATGGCAGCTGCAGTGGCAGTCCTTCGCAGTCACAGAAGAAACCCCTGTAGGCTCCGTTCCTCACTTCCCAGGGCCGCTCCCTCCCCAGCCCAGAGGTCTGCTTGGAGTGACTGAACCTCTTCAGTTTCCTAACTTTAAATCTTAATTAAATGTATTGATGGAAGCAACTGCCCCCTCCCTTTCCAATAATCAAAAACTCCAAGAGTGAGGAAGCCTCTCGCAGAAGGTTTTCTTCTCCACGTGTTATCTTCTCCAACCTGTACCATGACCCCGTGGGAAGTGCTAGAAGGGCATCTGTAACTTCATTTTACAGAAAAAGAGGCCTTTCCAGGCACGATGGTGCACGCCTGTAATCCCAGCACTCTGGAGGCTGAGTCAGGAGGATTGCCACAAGCTCCAGACCAGCCTTGGCTACGTAATGAGTTTAAGACCAGCCTGAACTACATAGCAAGACCCTGCCTTGGCTCCCGAATAAAAAGAGACCCAGAAGCATGTCGGCTGGATCCAGGTGGCCCAACTTCAGCTTCAGAACTTTTTACCTGCACATGCAGATTGGCAGATGCTAAGTTTATAAACAGTTCCCTCCCCTACGGGGGATTGGCCAGTCCGCAGTGCACGGCGCTCTGAAGGTTCCTGTCCCCCATCCCCGAACAAAGTCCCCATCCACCCTTGTCTCCCTCCCAGGAAGGCGTGGTCTAGACGCTCACAACCCATCACAGTTAGGATCCACAGTTATGCGGTGAAGGGAGGAAGGAAATGGAAACAGGAGGCAGCTGGCTGGGGAAAGGGGTCCCTAGCAGCGCCCCCACCCCCTCTGCAGGTTCTCGGGTGGGCCTGGTGATGACACCGCACAGAACCTGCAGCTCACACGTGTGCGGAAGAGATGGGCTCACGGAGCCCTTCCCACCCTTCCGGAGCCCCGGCATTGCTCCCGCGCCTCTGCAGACCTTTCTGCTGTCAGAATCCGTGGAAGTCCCAGCAGGCTCTGCTAAGGGCCCGAGTCCAGCCCCACCTGTCTTCTGGATGAGGAAACTGCAGCTCCAACAAGGGATGCAGCTCAGTGGAGAAGAGCTAGCAGGCATCCCCCCAGGCCAAACCCTCCCTCTGTGCTCCCCCTCTCCACTGTGCCCCTGCCAAAGGGGTGAGGATGGCACAGCGCCAGGCAGCTCCGGGTACCCTCCTCTGGGAACTGGTTTGGGGCTTTTAGGAACATGGCACGAAATCACAGGAGCCTCAGGAAGGCTGGATCCAGGGAGGAGAGAGGCGGGAGGGACAGGCAGAGAGAAAGGAGCCGCGCAACTAGGAGGGTCCCTGAGCCCCTGCAGCAGATGCTGCGGCCGAGGCTCCAGAAGATGCGCACACATCAAAGCCTGTTTGGAGCTGGTACTTAATGTCCTCTTATTAAATTTCCCACAAATCAGTGCTGAGAAGCCCCCTAGGTACTGACAACATCTGCAGAGCCAAGAATGGCGTGCACTCCAGCTCCGTTTACAGGCCAAGGCGGGGCCGGTGAGCTGAGGTGCGGGGAGCCCCTTCTGTCTGGGGCAGGTGTACCTGGGTTGTCTGGTCTAGGAGAGGCCACTAATGAAGACCTACTACAGCTGGGCACTGTGCCGGGTGCATCAGCGATGTCTTTGCTTTTCTTTCTCACAAGGAGGCTTTGATGCCGGCCCTTGCGTCCCTGTATTCGTACTACACAGGCTGCATAACTGGCCCGAGCCAGCCAGCCAGCACTGGCAGGCTTTACAGTTCCTCTTCTCCTGCACCCACAGTGTACCTCTCGGGGGACAGAGAGGGACTGATCACAGAAGGGCTCTCTGGGGAGCGCTCCTCTGTGCTGGCCCAAAGTCCCTGGAGCGCTTCTGCAGGGAGGACGGGGCAGTGAGGCCTCTCCCCAAGGAGTCTGAAAGGGGAGAAGGGGAGAATGAGGTGAAACGGTGTCTGAGGGACAGAGGCACTGTGCGACTTCTGCAGCTACGGGGCCTGGGTGGGTTCAGGTGTTGTCTCTCACTCACTTGCTGCCCTGCCCTGACGCAACTGGAAAAAGGAAGTCAGAGCAGACAGCTAGAGAGACAGCAGTTTAAGCCCAGGGAGCACCAGGGGCGCCCGGAGAGCGTCCACGGCTACGATGTGAACCGACCCTCAGTGTGGGGCTGCTATCAGGCGAGGCTTTAAAAAGCTGTTCAGAAAATAAGGGCCTTGCCCTCAGGACCGGGTTAACGACGTTCCTTCAGGAGCAGGCTTAGCATTGCAGGAAGGGGTTCCTTATAAAAGCAAGGGACCCCCATTGCTTTCTCTCCCCCTTCCTTCGCCCTTCCGTGGTGGAATGATGCAGCAAGGAGGGCCTCAGGTCTGGCACTTCCCGGCTTCCAGAATCAGGAGTCTCTAAACTGTTCATTATAGATTCCCCAGGCTCAGGTGTTCTGTTACAGCGGTACAAAGCTGGTCACCGCCACCCTGAGCAAGGACTGCCTCTGGCAATAGAACAGCAAGAGACGCCGAGAAACACCCACTAACAAGCAGAGATCTGGCCAGCACCGTCTGGAGACACAGCAGTACCTTGAGGGGCACACAGCACCCTCGAGGGGGCCAGTAACAGCCCAAGAAAATGTCAGCAACACCTTGAGAGGTGGTCAATGACACCCGAAGAGGACAGCCAGCACCTCCCTCAGGGACAGCCCGAGAGTCTGCGACTGCTCGAGAGGCGGCCAACAAGAACCGCAGAAGAAGCTGGATGCCTGAAGGACAAACGGGCAAAGCCAACCCCAGGGAGCCTGACCAGCACTCTGTCCCCGTCCAGCTGCAGCCCCGAGACCAGGAGGTGCCCCCAGGAAGGCAGCACAGGGCGGCACTGGGCAGACACCGCCATGCTGTGCTCTCCGTGGCCGGCATCCAAGGAGTCGCTGCTGCCCATCCGACTCCGACCCGCCTCTGCAAGAGCCCACCTTGTCTCTAGCGGCAGTTGTGTAAGGCCCGTCCCAGCGCCCTTCCCGGACGGCAGCAGTGAGCTCACCACTGCTCTCCCGAGTGACACAGCCTCTGCCCACCCCTCATCCCCGCTCACCCACATTGTCGCTTCTCTCCCCGGGGCTTCCTGAGCTGCTCCCCTTCCCCGGCCAGTGGACACCCCAGCCTCCTGCTCCTCAAAGCAACATCTGCACCCAGGGACGTGGGGAAGTCTTAGCTCCACTCCAGAGTCACAGAATCGGAATCTCCACTTTAGCAAGAAGCCCAGAAGGCTCTTAAGTACCATAGAGTTTCAGAAGCCTGGTCCACCAGCACACCACCCCCGGCCCTGACACACTGATCTGCAAACCCAGGCGCCCAGAGTCCCTTTTGTGTCCCCAGGATGAGCCCTCCAAGGTCGTGCTCCAGACTCGGTCCTGCCTGTCGGAGCGTGGGGGAGGGGACCGTGTGTGTGCAAGCATCAGGGGAGCGGGAGAGTCGGGGACAGGGGGGTGCCGCTCGCTGGAGGCAGGCAGTGCTGGGGGCTCTGCGCCATCCCTAGACCAAGCCAGGCACGAGTCAGGTTTCCCAACTGGAGACCTGTCCCGACGGTCCTGGCCGTGGGCAGGTCTCCTGAGGGCCTGGCCCGTGGGCATCCTCACAAGTCCCATTTCACAGGCAGACTTCTTCGAACCCTTTATTTACAGCGCGCCGGGCCACCGGTGCTTCATCAGGCCTGAGCCCAGGCCCAGAGCTGAGAAACCCGACACTCTAATTTGAAAGCTTCGAATTTGGGGTGGGCCTAGTGAGGCTGGGGCTGCCAGAAAGGATGGCATTTTCACTAATTAAGTCAATCGATTACACAGGCTGGCGAAGCAACCAAGCCAGCAGGGGCTGCCCAGGAAGGGACGGCAAAGCAGCAGAGGTGGGCTGGGCAGGGCGGGTCGCCGCGCCATGGAGGGCATGTGTGGGTGGTAGCCCCACCAAGGCAGTAACCAGAGGGGGGTGCTCACGTCACCTGGGGCTTCCCCCTCAGTGGCCCTCTGCCCCAGCGTCCACTGCCACCTCCTCTGACCTTCAGGGAGGAGGGGCGACAAGGATGGCAGGCAGATGGCATCCTCCTGGGGGTGAGGCACCAGCCAACGCAACCTCCCACACACTGGGGGCAAAGAGCTGAATTACTCAGTCCTGTGGGGGACTGAGGTGAGGCTACCTGCTCAAGGTCACACAGCCTGGAAACGTCGGCAGCAGATGCCAAAGCCAAACTGTCTGTCCCCAAAGCCCACGCTGCTGTCCCATTACCTGCCAAGAGAGGGGGGCTCATGAGAAGCAGCACGCCCACCCCTCGTTCTGCTCCAGATGGTGGAGCGAGGAGGGTCCTGCCGGAAGGGCGGGGCAGCTCACACACTGCCCGTGAGTCTTTGCAGGGAGCTGGGGAGAGACCAAGGGGATGCTGAGTGTCCCCCATCAGCTACGCAAAGGAAGGGGCTTAAATAGGCGCTGGAAAGATGGGGAGGCGGAGGACCTGGCCCTGGCAATAGGAGGCTTGGGTGCAGAGAGGAGCCGGGAGCAGGGGTGGCGATGCCCGATCTGCTGATGTCCGAGAAGCGCACAGATGCCTGCCCACCCCCCACCCCGGGAGAAGTCTGTCCGATGGGCAGCAGGGCAGCGGGAGATGCACTGTCCGCCTCAGGCTCTCAGACCCAGCAGGGCTCCCAGAGTCAGGTGGGTGTGGTGGGGGCCTGAAGACTTCCCGGCACACAATGCATTCCCACCTGGACCTGTATTCCTGACTGCACCTTCCCCATACCACATGCTGTGGGCAGGCGCTGTCCTCCTAGGAGTCACAACTCTGACCCGCTTTTCTGAGTATAAGTCCCGACCCCCTCCATGTTGTGTCAGGGAAGGAACCCCCTTCCTCCCGGTGTTCGTGCCCACCCCAACATAAGCCCATCTCCTCTGGCCCAACTATTTCCCAACCTGGATCTCACTTCCTGTCCCAGTCCCGCAGCCGCCCCTCCGCCAACCCCAGGACCACCCAGGCTGACTCACGGTGGGATCTGACACTCAGGGTACTGGGCTGACCTGCGGGGCTTCGGGCCTCGGTGGATCGCCTGGGATGGCTGGTGGGATCTGAGATACCCTCGCCCTCCGCGCTGGGGAAGTCTACTGCCTTGCCAAGGCAGCGCTGTGAAAGAGCTCGACATTCTTTCAAGCTAAGCACTGACCTGTCCTTTGCAGCTTCTGGAAGGAGCCAGAGGAGCCCCCATAGCTCAAAGCCCTGAGGCCAAACTGCTCAGGGCCCAGGCGGGTGCCGCTCCTGAGAACAATGCAAAGATGTCCACCCTCGCCACTCTTACTCAGTATAGTTCTTGAAATCTTAGCTATAGCAATTAGGCAAAAGAAAAAAATAAAAGGGATACAAATAGGAGAGGAAGAAGTAAAATTATCTTGGTTTGCAGATGATATGATCCTATACTTGGAAGACCCTAAGGACTCAACTGAAGCTGTTAGAACTGATAAAAGAATTCAGCCTTGTAGCAGGATTTAAAATCAACATATGCACCAAGTACCTCTGTGGGAAAGAGACCCTGAACGCCAAAGTCTCAGGCTCACTTGGACCACACGATCTCGTACAAGTCACTCACCTCTCCTATAAGGCCTCAGTCTCCCCATCTGTAGTGGGAATGATTTGTACCAGATCAGAGATTTTTACTTTTGCCCCATCGGCAGGATCCCCTGGGGTGCTTGGTTGTTGTTTCTTTTTTGGTACCGGAAATTGAACTCAGGACCTTGCACTTGCCAGACAGGCGCTTGTGCTGCTGAGCTATATCCTTGGCCCTTAAAGAGGACCAGTGAAAAATGCCAATTCCTAGGTCCTCCTTGGACACTTGGGTCTATTGGGGGTCAGATGTAGTTCTGGGCCCTATGTATGAAAACAGCTCTGGGTGATTCTTACTACCAGGCAGATGGGGGAGCCCTGGAATGGGATAAAGGGTCTCTAAGGTCGTATCTTTAGGTAATGAAATTCTCAGGACCACTGAGGCCAGTTTCTCGTTCTTGCTCCTGAAGCCCTGGGCCCTGGCAGCCTGGGATGTCTTCACCTAGGCCCTTTGGTTTCGGCCCACGCATTCCTCCAACCCTGTGCCCTACCCCCAGCACTCCTGGAAAAGTGGGGCGGAGATGCAGGGACAGGCAAGGGAGTATGAGAGCAGTGGCAATACCAGGCAAATAGATGTACTTGTGTACCTGCCAAATGTCACCCTTAAAATATTATTCATGGCATTGGTGTTTGTAAAAGCCAAACGCTGAGAAGAAGCATTGCCTCAATAAGTTATGGTACCTCTGGCCTGTGGGATAGTATGCAAGCGTAAAAAGGATGAAGATGATCTTTATGTACCGACATGAACGTCTCCCAGACAGATGGCCACATGAAAAAGGCCAGGTGTCAAGCAGTCTGTATGACAGGTGATGTTTGGGTGAAACCAAAAATACATGTACTGACTTGTACATGCAGGTGAATTGGCAGGAGAGCTGCCTCTGGGGAGGGATCCAGTGGCTGGGGACAGGGGTGGGAGCGGGACTTTTCACGACCTTCCCATTTGTACCTTTTGAATTCTGAATTATATGTAAGCCGTATCTACTCAAAAACTTGTAAAATTTTCAAAAGCTCTCCAAGGCTTTCTCCAACTGCACTACTACCCCCACCTCCACCTTGCTCCTGACAGACCCCAGGCTGTCCTTGGTATCTCTCTAGGGTGTGAGGTGGAAATAGGCAAGGATCCTTCAAGTGTGTCTGGCCTGACTGCCCGGCCCGGCCCACACCCAGAGCAGGCGGCTACTGACAAGCACAGGCGGGGAGGGAAGTGAGCTGGACCGGCCCTGCCACAGCCCACAGCTCCCAGCGGCTTCCCCCGAGCACTGCCTCCACACCAGACTCGAGTCCCCCTCCCTGGCCGGCCACTCTAAAGGCATCCAGCCCTGCGCCTCCCCTCGTGTGGTGACTGCTGGACTTAGCTCACCTCCTCATTAAGAATCTCCTGGCATTCGGAGTAATTCACACGGGCAGCCCAGCTGCCATTGGCCAGGCACTCCCGGTAGCCGTTGTCTGGAAAAAAGAAGCCACATGAAAGAATAGCAGCCCAGCATGCCCATCTGTCCATCCGTCCATCCCTCTATCCATCTGGGCCAGCACAGGCCTGGCGGCAGGGGCCCTGGAAGGAAACTGGGAGAGGAGCTCCTCACCACCCCCATTTCCTGCCTCTTTCACCCAGTGGCCCCTGCGCAGGGCTACAGCAGCTGCCCTAAGCACTGGCTGGGGGTGGGGCACGGCTCTGTCCACCCAGTCATGCCGCTGGACTGGGCATGGCCAGGGGGCCCCCAGCTGCCTGGGCTGCTTCCCCCAGCCTTCTGTGTGGCGGATTTCACGGTGGGTGATCTTCCGAGACGCTCCTGTTTGGAGTCCTGCACGACAGCTAAAAAGAATGAGATCTCACGAGCCATGCTCACACAGCCAGTGTGAGGACCTGGACCTCGTGGACGGGTATGTGGCAACAGCTCCCGTGACTGACTGAAGTGACAGGGTTCCTTGCAGGACCACTCGTGGTGGAGGTGTCTGTGGGCAGTCCTCGTGTGGCAGCGTTTCCTGGGGGGCTCACAGGTGGGTCCTGGGCAAGGTCTCCGTGGCAGCATTTCCCCGTGGCAAGCCTTTTGCTGGGGACTCTTACGGTGGGAGCATCCCTAGCGGAGATCCCGTGGACAGAAAACGACAGGAGCGTGCCAGGGGATGCTGCACAGGGTAGGTCTCGCTTGGAGTCTCACTGCTAGGACCTGCTGCAGCTGCTCCCGGCCCGGCCTACAGCACTGGGGGAAGAAGGCGGCACAGCGGCCTAAGGAGGGTGGGGCGGACGTAGCCCTCAGCCTGGATGGCACTGAAACCTATCAGTTTTTAAGACGGGGAGGGGCCCTGTGGGCTGTGCTGCCCGGCGCTAGGGCTCTGGGACTGGCAGAGCTGCCTACATGGTCTCTCTCACCTGCCTTCCTGCTGGCTTCCCCTGGGCACCAGGGTCCTGAAATCTACGAGGGAAGGAACCATCAGCATGGCAGCCTCCTCCCTGCTGGCAGCATCAGGAGCAGATGCTGGGTGAGGAGCTAGGGGAGTTGATGTCGCCTCCAGGGGAGGCGGCCGTGGCCTGGCCTCCGGGGCTGAGAGGCTGCAGCCTCCACTCTACCCAAAGAAGCTGCTCTGGCCGCAACAACTGCTGAGGGCTGGGGAAGCCAGGCTCTTGGGCTTAAAGCTCTGGAAGGCCTCCTGGTGTGCAGCCCTGCGTCCCGGGCAAAGCAGAGCTCTGGGGCAATCTGGCTATGAGGCTGCGGAGGGCTCTGCTAATGACTAAGTGAGGACTATGTCTGCCCTACCCAAACAAAAGTGCCCTGGGCGCTAGGAGTATCGACAAAGATGGGGCGGACATCAGGTGGGAAAGGCCAAGGGAGTAGCGGAGTTTGCGTGCAGCTCCTGCCTTAGGAGAGGAACTTGTGTTGCACAGAGCTACATTAAGAGCAGGGCTCCTAGACCCACAGAGCCGAGGTTCAAATCCTACTCTAGCTGTGTGACCTTGGGCAAGTCTCTTATCCTTTAACTTCCTTATCTGTAAGACAGAGGACCCTAATAAGGACGCCTACCTCACCGATGGAGTATTTTTAGTTAACATGTGCTTAGAACTGTACCTGGCATATGGAATTAGACATTATGTTTATTATTATTGTCTTGGAGCTCTATTTATGTAACCTTACATAATGTGTAGAACATATCATGTGTCCCTACCAAAAGGGGTGCAAGTGGAGATTACAGAGGAGCCCCTTTGCTCAACGTCCCCTTCTGCACCCAGAAGAGAGGGGTGCCCTTCCCCATGCCCAGCCATCCCGGGCAGAAGGCTGACTGGAGGGAGGAAGTCCCGAAGGGAAACAGGCCCAACGCGGGGAGTCGTTGCCAGGGAGGATTCAACCTCCTTGTCTCTAATTGCTGAGCGGAGCTGTCCTCCCAAAGAACCACGGGAAGGTGGATATTTTTGGAAATGTTTCCCATCCTTTTGAAGATCTGATGCAGCAGGAGGGAGGGCATGAAGAAGCCTAGAAGTCCTGGCAACGCCTCATCGGTGAATGAATTAATTGATGCCTAATGATTAGGTACGGCTCTGGCTCCTTCTCTAGCCCACAGCACCGGCAGGGCATCCCTAGTCACATGGCACAGGGGCGCCTGCACAGGGGTCCTCAGCCT